ACTTACATATCAATTTAGTTCATGCTATGTCATTTTACTGCTATTAGTTGACGCTTCGTAACTCCATCGATAGTATTGGATCAGCACCAAAAACACTAGACAAACATAACGTTGGTCACTATTCGGTACTCGACCAATTATAGTTATAAGATGTGCTATGAAAACGAATCAATCGAGGTAAGATTTTAACCAACAGTGAGAACGGATGATTACTGAATAAGGTAGTTATTTAGTTAATTTACAAACTATCTGCACAGTAACAATAATAATTTAATTATATCAACATTGGATTATATAACCATATCTAACTAAACCCAGTACTTATTATTATGGTCATTTCGACTGAACTCTGTATATTCTACCATTTGACAACACATAGAATGTCAGGAAATTTGGATTTTTAGCTTTCACCAATAAATACAAGTGACTTAATAGATAGTGTTATGTAAAGTGTAATATTTTCTAGTCATTTCAGTATTCCATTTTATCTAAATCCCACTTATTTTGATACATTCCCTAAACTGGTTCCACTGTGTAACAATACTCATTTCATAGAGTGATATAAAAGGTCTGATTTATTTCGAAAATGAAATAAATTCTTGTCCATCGTCTTCCTCTTATTACAGGCGTCGTCCAATCCACAGATTTTAGTCACAAGTATCAAATCAGTCAAGTGTATTCAAAGATAATAAATCATTCTTAAATAATTATCACATTTTTGAACGTAAGTTGGTTGAATTTTGGAAGCATTTAATACTAAAATCATATGTTACATTAAACACTGAGGTCATTTGATACTTGAATTCATCAGACTACCATGGAAAAACTGGAAGTACTGGACGGCCGTTTCGTCATATTGCGGGACTCTTCAGTAGTGCGCATTTACGATCTAGCCTCGTGAGATCCGAACCCAAAACCTATCGGTCTCGCGCGCAAGCGCTTAACCTCTAGACCATTGATCTGGCTGAGATCCAACGGTTTTAATGTCTAACTTCAACCAACAGTCATTATTACACAGCGGATACTTTCAGTATAGATATTTAAATTATTTATCATTTAAGCAACATTTTAGGTATGACAAAAAATGATACCAAATCAAAATAGGTGATAGGGGAAGAGTTTAAACCATAAATTCGTATTTGAAAGCAATGGTTTATAATTCTGATATATGTGTACTTTGAGGATTCTTTAGAAGTTATCCAAAGTTACTAATACACAATACAGTGCATCAAATGTATGATTTCTGGCTAACGTTAGAAAAGATCAAATAATTTAAGACAGTAAATTGTATTTAGATTCATATTGGCATAAGAGTTATTGGCTTGTCACAATCTCACTGTGGTTGTTGATAGTCATCTATCTTAGATACATATCATTAAGCATGTTATAGATTATTTAAAATAAAGAAAACATTTATGAATGTTCCAAAAAAGATGTTCTTATCATAGTTACCAAATAAAATCGGTTTTTCACCCATATCTATTAATTTATCGAACCAGGTTCTTGCTAGGTGGGGAGAACCAATCAATGATTTAATGTAAAATTAAAAAGTGTCTTCATAAATTATGAAAATCATACATTAAATACTTGATTCGGACATCTTCCATTAGTTTTCTCTTACAAAACTCCAACGTTCCTTCATTCCAGTTGTTATTATAATTACTCTGTGCTTACATCCCTGTTCTCTTCAATCAAATCTTCTCAACATTCTGTTGCCAGGTATTCGATTTCTGATTGATGTTACATACTACTTGTACCTGTAAACATAAACAGCATGTACCACAATATGAGTTATACAATCTCCCAATTTATTACAGATTTAAACAGTAAAAGTAAAGATGATTTAATAATAAACATGAAAATGGTGTTAAGAGTGTAAACAAACTTTACAAGTTACCCCAATATGTGTAAGATTTATGCGTAATTTAACTAATTCCTTTTGTGACAAAGAAGATTCCATCTATCTGTTTATCTATTTCAATGAAATTAATGAAAATTATTTACCTTATACACATCATCTCTATTTTAATAGTTGAGATCATGAGTCAATTTAAACAAGACCACCATGAAAAACCTGGAAGTACTGGATAGCCATTTCATTCTATTTTGTGACTTCTCAACAGTGCGTATTCATTATTCTGCATCGTGAGATTCCAACCACCATAGGACGAAACGACAGCCTAGTGGTTCCATATTTTCCATGATAGTCTAACTTCAATAAACTGATCATTTCCACTATTGAAATTACTATAATATTCACAACATCCCTTCTGATAATAACCATCACCTTTATCTCAAAAATTCAATAATTATCAAAACAAGAATTAGAGAACATGAAATAAATAGGTTTTTCATTTTCTTATTTTACATTTGTTTTAGTGTTTTAGGGGAAATGTCGAAAATGGTAAGGGAAAAATATTAGCATATATATATATACCTATTTATTATTCATGTGATATATGCTGAATTGTTTGTCACGAAAATACATTGTGATTGAGAAAAAAAAAATTGAATATAATGAGTTTACCAGTAAATACTTGGATAATTTAAATTCACTTGATGAGTATAAACTTCTCCCCATCGCACAAGCAGGTGGCTGTCACAACTCAGTAGCTAAGTGGGTAAAGCGATGGCGTTTGAAGCGAACGGTACTGGGTTCGAGTCCCGGAGTGAATATCAATTCCGTGGTGCAAGCAAACCCAGCTGACGAGTCTCAAATAGGACGAAGTAACTCGCGTCCTGGACTCTACCGCTTTAAAAAAAACTTGGACTATTTGCTTATTTGTTTTTTTTCAATACTAATAAGAATTATATTGTAGCGTAATTTCATTTTTATCGGATTTATTATAGGCTATAAAATAGATATCTAATATTTTTAGTTTAGACGATGGCCAATTTAGATGACTAAAATAATAACGCATATATCAATAGTGGGAGACTAGTGTTCCGATTGGCTCTTTATCCGCTTAGCCTTGCCTGTTAAGTTCACAACGTCAATCTAAGCCTCCGCAATACGAATTATATATTTTAAACATATTGGGTTCGTATACAAACAAACGAGAGCATATCACACCATAAAATAGGAAATAACATTTATACAAGATCAAGCCAACAATTGGTGTGATTATAAGAAAATGTGACTAATAGGTTGAGAATAAATGGAGAATAACAAATCATATAACAGTAACTAATAGATTAAATAAAAGTTTATAATGAAAGGAATATGAATATACATATAATATAGTTACTTAATAGTCATACAGTAAGAATATTCGTATAATATTAGTCCGTAAATAATTCCTAACCGTTAACACTCATTTATTTTCCTCCGAATATAACACTTTTGTAAACATATTATTAAAACGGAGTTTGATAAATGACATAATATAGCAAATTTTACATGTTTTCCTAGACTTTGATGAAAATTACTTGTTACTAGACTTCAAAAATAGAACATGTAGAACTCAAAATAACTGTCTGTCTACCAATATCAAAGTAAGAATCTTCAATACGAACATTAAGGCAGTTCTGCTGTATGGAGCTGAAACTTGGAAAACTACAACAACCATTATCAAGAAGGTACAAGTATTTATAAATGGTTGTCTACGCCAGATACTCAACATCCATTAGCCGGATACCATCAGCAACGGCCTACTGTGGGAGAGAAAAAAACAGTTTCCAGCTGAAGAAGAATTTAGGAAAAGACGATGGAAATGGATAGGACATACATTACGCAAATCATCAAACTGCATCATGAGGCAGCCCCTAACTTGGAATCCTGAAGGGAAGCGGAAAAGAGGAAGGCCAACGAACACATTACGTCGGGAATTAGGATCAGATATGAAAAGGATGAATAACAATTGGAAGGAGCTGGAAAGGATTGCCGAGGACAGGGTTGGATGGAGAATGCTGGTGAGCGGCCTTTGCTCCTTCACGAGGAGTAACAGGCGTAAGTAAGTAAGACTTCAAAAATAGTTTCGGAATTCTATGTTACTGAATTTTTAGGATTTGTTATTTGTAACAAAAAGAACAATTTGTTATATTCACATAATGTCTTACTGGATTGCTTGTTGGTTAAGAAATGAATATATCATTTGCCTTGATGATCAATAAAATTCAGTGAAAATATTATCTTAGGTGTTTTTAAGTAGTATATTGGAAACCCTAATCCTAGGTTTTCTGTTAGTTGAAAGTCATCAACAGATTAACGTCTGACATTTAGAAACTGAATTATATAGTGTAGTGTCGGTTAATATGTTAAGCCCATAGACGTTATTCTAGGTTTCGAACAGCCAATTCTATTCATTCCACTTGAGTCACATTCTAACCTTATTAATTATTCGCTTATCAATCTTGACTGTTTTTATATGAGCGTATAGGTGTGTGTAAATTTCTTATTCCATTACTCATCACATGTCTGTAACTTACTTTTGTATAACGATAAATATTAATTAACACTTGGTTAAAGCGGAGTTGGCTTACCAGCCATCTCC